CCTCCCCTAACCGGCCCTCCATACAATTTCTGAAATGCAACATGGCCATCAGGCCAAAAAGTTTGCCCACCCCTGCTTTAGAGGGAGAAAATATGATTGCGAGAGAGCGATCCATGCACTGAGCTAAGGGTGAGCTGCTCCATGCCCTTGCGCACAGGAGCAGGTTGGGGCCCTGAGGAGGATGTTCCAGCTGGGAGTAGAGATTGGTGACACTTAGGCACAGTTTTCTTTATTTACAAAGAATGTACCAAGTCCTGTGTAACTGAGCACGGAAGGAATCCAAGAGCAGGAAACAGCTTCTTTTGCTCACCTCACAGCACCAAGAGCAATCTTTTCAGCCTGCACTCCCCTGCCCCAAAGCCTCTCCCCTGCTTTCTACTGGGCTCAGCCACCCTGCTTTCAGCTGCTCCTTCCAGCTGTCTTGTCTGTCCGTCTCACCCAGGCGTTTTTTCCTGCTCTGTCTTCAGTAAAAGCTCCTGGGTGGGTTCATATACTCCTTTTGTCTTAGGTGGGAGCTTCTCCTTACAGTGATGTTAATTGAAAGATGAGTGCCAACCTATCAATCTCAATGAGGTTTTACCTCCTCCCACCCGCCCCCCACCCCCGCATAACAAGGTTTCGTCCAGCTGATAAAATTTATTTCCCCTGCAACAACTGGGAGATGTCTCTTTCCTCCACCTTCAGCACTTCCCATGAGTCAGGCTTGCTCACTTTGTTCCTCCCCATTCCTTCTCTCCACTCTCCTGGCCTGAATTCTAAGAGCCATCAGCCCTTGGGGAGGGAGGCATAGTCCTCTTCCAGGCCTGTGGGAAGCCCCAGGCCAGGATTTTGAGTGCAACCTCTTGGTAGAGAGCAGCTCTGCTTGGGTCCCTCACCAGGCTGCCCTGCAGCTACAGCAATCAGCCCCTGGCTAGAGTCAGTGCCCCTGTTTCCCCCCATGTGAGACTCCTCGGGTGGACGGGAGGGAATGGACTATAGCTGCTACAGAACCAGAACACTAGCTTCCCCCGTGACTTTGGAGAGACCACGTCAGTTGGGCATGGGGAAGAGACTTTCTTATGCAAGTGTTCATTTGCCTGGTCCGGAAGGTCCCGAACGCACAGAGAACAAAAACCCCCAGTGCGGCATGCAAAGCAAAGCAAGCAACCTCCGCACCTGTGTGATACGCCTTCCTATTCCCACTCCACCTAAATCGTCAGCTCAGTCAAATGTCACACGCACGTCTGATGCTATGCAAATGACATGATGCAATCATAGTGGTTTTTAACCAGTCCTGATGGGTCTGGTTTCACCCTCATCAGCCTTGATCAGTTACCAGAATAAACTAATACCTAGCTCTGATATGGTGCTTCTCCGCAGTGGAGCTCAATAGTGGATCTTTACAAATAGGGTCAGTAACATTATCCCCATTTTACAGAGTGGGAAACTGAGGCACAGAGCAGTGCCTGAGGTCACCCAGCAGGCCAGTGGCAGAACCAGGAACTGAATCCAGGTCTCCTGAGTCCCAGTCCAGCGCTCTATCAGTCAGAAGTGACTAGGGAAGCCAGAAATGATTACAACTCCCATGAGCCCAGTGGGTGCTATTAAAAAAATAAGGGTGTTTGTTAGTTTGCGGTCAAATCCTGCCATCTCTGCTTGGCCCATTCTTAGGGGGAAAGGCTACCAGGGCTTCTTGCAGAGTAACGTCCCACGGAAGGTGGCTAACGGTGTCAGGATCTGTCTCATAGTCTTTATTCAGTCGAAGCTCGCATCAGCGTCAGTGGGAGTTTTGCCTGAGAGAGGACCAAGGGCTCAGCGGTGGCTCTGCCAAAATCCCCCCATGTAGGGTAGCACAAAATGTCTCCGACAATCCCAATCTGCCACACAGTTCCCCCTGTTCCAGGGTGGGACATACCCTGCGCCAACTTTGTCCAGCACATGTCCCTCAGTACCCTACTGCATCGCCCACCTCTTCGTGTCAACCCCTGACCCCATGCACGGGGGGAACAGGGCAGTTTCATGGAGGCTGCCCTTCCCCACCCCTCACATACCCATGATGTGAGTAGCTGGTGTAGGCAACAAAGGGTAGCCACTGACTTCAGTGGGCACTGGATCCAACCCACTGAGAGGAGCTGAGACCACTAACCACCAGGATCAAGACCCTTCGCCACCGTGATCTGGAGCTATAAATAACCCTGGGATGGGGGGAGGAAAGGAAGGAAGTATCAATGAATGGCAGCTTTGTCCCTTGTTTTGACATCTGTTTACACACTAGGCGTTTCCCACCAGCTGAACACTTTGCTCTTGGCATGTTAGCCAGTGGGAAAGCAGAACGTCTGTCAACATCCAGTGTGAGAATTCTTCAGTCTTCTGTCTGTTGCCTTTGCTTTGGCTAGGCATAAAACCAACTCTGAGCTGCAAAGCCCCATAGCATGAGATAGTAGGAACAAGAGCCTCTAGGTAATGGGATATGTTGGCTTTGGAAGGAATGGGCTAGAATTGCATCGGTCTTGGAAGATGGATTTCCTAGCAGGCAGCATTATGGCAATGGAACGTGCTGCAGTGCTTGCCTATGCATAAGGGGGATTTGAAGGGTCTCAGACTCACACACTTGCACAAACACACACACACACTTACACACTGGCTGAGAAACCAGTGATTAAAGGAAAAGTCCTGTCTCCAATGATCTGTTTATCAACCCACCAGTCTTGGTGGAATCTATGCCAAGGATGAATTTTTGGCTTGTTAGAATGAAGGTTTGATGGTGTTAGGTGCTCTCACGCCAGTGTGCCATGCCAATCTTATCAGGCCTTATCACACTGCAATAAAAGACCTGCGGCACAGCTGTGGCTGGCCCAGGTCAGTTGATGCAGGCTCGCAGGTTGAGGGGATAAAAATAGCAGTGTAGCCCAGGCTCTGAAACTCCACGAGGGTAACCAGGTTCCAGCCTGAGCCCAAACATCTACACAGCTATTTTTAGCCCTACAGCCTGAACCCTGGTCAATCGACCCCGGCTCTGAGGCGCGGTGGTATGGGTTTTTTCTTGCAGTGGAGATGTACCCTCGTAGGGATGAGCATGTGTTCTTCATACTCACATGCTCCCTTTCGTAGATTTTTTTTTTAAGGCCAATAGATACCATTGGATCATCCAGGCTGACCTTCTGTATAACACAGGCCAGAGAATTTCATCCAGTTACCCCTGCATAGAGCCCAGTCAGTTCTGTTTGACTAAGGTATGTCCAGGGCCGGCTCCAGGGTTTTGGCCGCCCCAAGCAGCCAAAACAAAACAAAAAAAAAGCCGCGATCGCGATCTGCGGCGGCAATTCGGCGGGAGGTCCTTCACTCCCAGGCGGAGTGAGGGACCGTTCGCCGAATTGCCGCCGAATACCTGGACCTGCCGCCCCTCTCCAGAGCGGCCGCCCCAAGCACCTGCTTGAGAAGCTGGTGCCTGGAGCCGGCCCTGGGTATGTCCCCTGCAGCAGGGACCTTCCCAAACTACTTCTGTCAGGGGTCCTTCCAGAATTCTCTGGCACTCTCCACTGGCACCAAGCCAAGATCTGCGGCCTTCATCCTGAGACCCATTCTCCTGCTGAGGGGGTCTTTGCAATGGGGAAAGATTTAGGACCCATTCCCAGTGCTTATTGTTTAATCTCTTTCACATTGTACATCTTCTTAGACATGCTGGGCCGCAACCTCAGCCAGTGTCAATTGGTGGGTGCATGGGGCAATGCCAATTCATGCCAGCACGGGCTCTAGCCCACCTGTGAACCACCTCCCTCTGTACTTTGGTGTCAGGGCAACCATCTTCTACTTACTAATAAGTCACTGATATCACTGTGCTGGAATTTCTGTAATGTCCTCCTTATAAGAGCAGAGGCAGCTACGATCATGCGATAAAACAACACACACCGATGGCCACCTGCCAAAATATTATGCCTCTTATCCTGCTTTTTATCTAATATAAAAGAACTGGCACAGGACCCACATTAGGTTGTGACACTCTGCACCTCGGGGGAACACCCTGCACGCCCATGTTCATCCTTATAATATGATTGTGTGGTATCCAATGCAAAGTTTGTCATGTCGAGTGTCTCCGGAAAGTTCATGATGCACTGAGCATCGTTGTTATAGTGATGTTATAGGTTGTAATTTCATGTATATAGTTATGAGGCTGAAAATGTGTCCTCATGGCTTAAAACAAGCCCAGGCAAAACTCTCCAGGAGCAGAGGGGCAGTTCACACCTCATCAGGGCATGTATGGGACAAACCCAGCCCAGCCTCACAGGAACAAAGGACACTGGCCTAGGCAGCAACAAAGGATCTGTTGGACTCTCGAGTCAGTCACCCCGCTTCTCTTGGCTAGTTTGGGACTGCGATGAGGTAATGTTCACCTGACTCTGAAGTGGAGGTGGGGGGGAAGCCAAGAGGGATGAAAGAACATTTGCCAGGCTCTCTCTCTTCCACTTCCATCTACAGATACCACCATCAAGCGACTGAAGCACTGATCAAAGGGGAGAGCCTGGCTGAAGGGCAACCAGCCAGCCTGTGGTGAGAAGCATCTAATTTTGTAAGGGCACTGAAAGTGTTAAGATCAGCTTAGAATGTGTTTTGCTTTTATTTCATTTGACCAAATCTGACTTCTTGTGCTTTGATTTATAATCACTTAAAATCTGTCTTTTGTAGTTAATACATTTCTTTGTTTATTCTACCTGAAGCAGTGCGTTTGGTTTGAAGCGTGTGGGATAACAAGCCTGGTACATATCAATGTCTTTGTTAAATTGACAAACTCATATAAGCTGCAGCGTCCATAACTGGACACTCCAAGATGGAGGTTCCTAGGGTTGTATCTGGGACTGAAGATATTGGCTAGTGTCATTCGGTTGCACAATCTAAGCAGCAGCTGGCCAAAAGTGCTCACTCACGTAGCTGGGAGCAGCTGACATGCCAGAGGCTGTGCGTGAACATCCCGGGAGTGGGAGTTCTCACAGCAGAGCAGGGTAAGGCTGGCTCCCAGAGTCGAGGATTGGAGTGACCTAGCCGATCACCGGTCCAGATAACACCAGAGGGGAACATCACATAGGTGTATTAAGACACACTTTACTCCACCTGTAACATAATATTCACTTGCATTCTGCCCCACCCCACTCTCCACATTTCACCCGGCATCTGGGAGAGGGATACACTCAAGTACATGCTCTCCAAGATATTCATAACAACACTTGGGAATGTTTGTTCCTCTCTGTGTTGATTAATGTACGAGGAGAAACTGTAGATTCTAAAATCATCTGGCAGAAAACCTGATAGTTCAGTACATAACGTCATGACTCCAGCGGCAATCCACTTGTCAGTTCACGTGCGCCCAATCCATAACCCGCTCCAAAATGTGAGGAGACGCTGTAGCTTAGCAGAGTTTATGGCCCTGCTGTCTACAGTAGGAAAATGGCTCGTGGTTGAAGACACGTCCTCGGTGGACTCTCAACCAGTGTTGAGAATGGTTTGGTTGAGGGTGATGACAGAGCCAAATGATTTCCAGTCCCCCTTGCATAGTGATTACATCACAGTCCTCTGATGGGGAAATGGAACTCTCAGATGTCCTTCATTCTGAGAAGTATTGCCCATTTTTGTCCCAAAATGTCCCTTCATTCCACAGAAATTCCATGCCCCTCACGTTTATGTTTGAAAGAATCACCATGCTATTGGATGCAATAGTTTGGCACCATCACATCCAGCGGCTTCCCGGGCATTGCACTGTAACAGCATTTGCATTACAAACCAAGAACATAAGAATACAGGCATTGCCCTAGAAGCTCAGAGCTGTGGCCCCTCTAGTTCAGTATCCCATCTCTGACAGTGGCCAGCACCAGATGCTTTATAGGAAGATGCAAGAACTCCAGCAGTAGCCGATGGCAGATAATCTGACCTCGTTGGTTTCATCCCAATCTCTAATACTTGGAGATTGGTTAAACCCTGAGACATGAGGTTTAATCTCCCTTGCAGAATTTGAATAGCATTAATTATAATAAATAAAAGACCTACCAACAGGATTGGAGCCCAATTTAGTAAAGCATCCTATTCATGGAGAACACTTAAGCACGTGCTTAATATTAAGCATGTGCTTAAGTGATTTTTCTTACCAGGGCCTTGAATGGTAGAAGAAGTAAATATATTTTTATATCCTGGAGTTAAAATAGTTCATAAAGCTATCATATGCAACAATTTGGTCAATAGAGGACTATCACAGATTAGTCAGATGAAGGTAGTATTAGCATTAGCTACTGAATATTCATCCTTAGCTAGCTGTCTTTTATGTTCTCCATGTTGACCCCCATGTTACTCATTTTCTTCCGTGGTTTTTAATTCATGCTCCACGAAATTCTACCAAATGCAGGAGTCAGTGACAGCTGGTCCCTCCCAGCCCAGGATGGCTTCCTGTTTCACAGAGGTGGGGCTGAAGTTGAAGATACCATAGGTACTGGTAGCAGTTCAGAAAGCAAACTCCTGGGGAGCAGTTTTCAGTCTGGGCTTTCACAGCTGCTAGTGCTGAACTTCTCACAGTCCTGTTGAGACAGAATAAACCACAGGTGAGGATCCGCTCCACAAAGGGGATGGGTGTGTGACGCTGGTGAGCACAGACCTTGGCGGGTTATGAGGAGCATATGGGAACTGGTGGCAATGCCATTGGCATAAACCAACCTCTAACTATTGGGGGTTAGGAGGAAAATTTCCCTGTGGGCAGATTTATCCCATTTCTGCCTCCTGCAGGTTTCTGTCCTGCGGAGCTGTTGGCACTGAGCAGACTAGATTGCCTGATCCAGCCTGGCATTTCCTACCCCGGAGTGTACCTCCAGTGCCCAACTAGAGGGACTGGGCCAGGCATTGGCAGATCTGCAGGGGCCAGAGAAGGAAGGAATCCACCACACAGCAGAAGCTGCAGGGGTGCTTCTCGGCAGCTCTTGCAGGCTCAGTGCTCCAGAATCGATGCAGCCCACCTCCTCAGGAGGAAATGACTGATGGACCTATGGAGTCACAGGTTCACCAGCCCCCTGCCCTGCTCAAGCCCCTTGCTGTGCTGGGGTGAAGGCAGGTCCCACACAGCAGAGTCCCCAGAGAGTTCCCGTAGAGGCCATGTCCCCTGCATGAGCTCCCAGAATCCTGTCAGTGGAATCACACCTTGCAGGAATTCAGTGCATCAAGCCCATCCTGACCAGTGATGCATTAACCCTTTCTGTTGCTCTGCACCATGCGCAAACACTCTCAACCCTCTGTCCCAGCGCAGCCCACCAAAAAGCAAGAAGTGAAAAGCTTCCCTGTGTTGGTCTGCCTGTTGGAGGCAAGTGACACTAAATTTAGCAGTGTAGTATATAGGAATAGGGTAGTGTCCTTTTAAATGGTTTGCAAGCCCTCCATTGGCGTTTACTGTGTTCTATGTTTTAGAAGTCACCAGAAACCAACCAGAGCAGCATTGTGTGTAGCTAGGCCAGGCATGTCTGCATAGAGCTATTTGAGACCCAACTGTGCCCATGTCGTTTCTTCATATTGTTGTGTAAAGAGCAAAAGACATAAGAGGCCTACGGACAAGAATCATAGAATATCAGGGTTGGAAGAGACCTCAGGAGGTCATCTAGTCCAACCCCCTGCTCAAAGCAGGACCGATCCCCAACTAAATCATCCCAGCCAGGGCTTTGTCAAGCCAGGCCTTAAAAACCTCTAAGGATGGAGATGCCACCACCTCCCTAGGGAACCCATTCCAGTGCTTCACCACCCTCCTAGTGAAATAGTGTTTCCTAATATCCAACCTAGACCTCCCGCACTGCAACTTGAGACCATTGCTCCTTGTTCTGTCATCTGCCATCACTGAGAACAGCCTAGCTCCATCCTCTTTGGAAGACTTCAGATACACACAGGAGGGCATTGGCAGAGGGATAAATAACATCCCAGGGCCCATTAGGCACAGTGTCTGAATGATCAGAGAACAGTCAAGGGACCACCCAGAAAAAAGACCACAACTGAGCCCAGTGGAAATGGAAACTTTTTTAAGTCTTCTGTTTTCTCATGCTCTTTTGATGGCTGTTACCCCAGGTCTTAGTTTATCTGTCTGGCAATGATCTGTTTTATGGGGCTGATACTACACACCTCCACGGTCATGTGTCAAAACAGTTTTGACAAAATTATTTTCTTTTGTCAAAAGTGGGGTTTTGTTGAAAACCATTTTAAAAATTAGTTTTCGAGGAAAATAATGGAGGAAAAACCCTGAAACCCCCCAAAATGACAAGTTTGGGGTTGCTGAAAACAGAACACATTTTGACTTTTCTGACAAAATCCCCAAATTTTTGGCCAAAAGTCTTTGAAGGAAATTTTTTTCGTCCTGGCGAAGTGTTTTACATGGGACCAAAATCATTTCCCAACCAGCTGCAGATGCCAGCCACGGAGGCTGGATTGAGTGATACCGGAGGATTTTAGAACTATTACAATACAAATCAGGACCATCAGGCAGGGAGGTGTGAGAGAGAGAGCATGGTCTTATGGTTAAGGCACTGGATAGGGACTCAGGAGATCTGGGTTCAGTTCTGATCTCTGCTATGAACTCCCTGTGTGACCTTAAGCAAGTCACTTCATCTCTGTGCCTTGGTTTCCCCATATGTAAAATGGAGCTAATAATCCATTCTTTTGTCTCTCTTGCCTATTCAAATTGTGAGTTCTTCAGGGCAAAGACTGTCCCTCATTAAGTGACTGTACAGCACCTGGCACAATGGGACTCTGATCTCAGCTGGGGTTGCTAAGTGTGACAATAGTACAAATAACAATGGTGGGGTCAGATGCTCAGCTGGTGTAATCTGGCATAACTTCATTAATGCCTATGGAGCTTCACTGGTTTACACCCCCTGAGGATCTGCCCCAGCGTGCTGTCGTGGGCTGCATCACACACTCGTTTCTCCCTCTTACCCTGACGTTCTTGCTGTAGGAAAACTGCACAAAAGTATCCTGGAGATATTGGTCTCCAAAGCCCATGATCCTGTTCACTGCGTGGTTACAGATGCCGGCCACCTTGGCAGTTAAGTGCACAGCGAATGCAAATTTTATCTCCTCGGGAGACATCTCAGGCACTTGGGCTGTCACTTCTTTATTGACGTAGACATCGGCTAAGTGCTTGAAGGAGCTGTAGGAGATATCTTTGAAGAACGTGGTGAGATTTGTGTCTTCTTTTATCTGTTTAAGAGGGAAACCAGTAGCATGCACATTCATGAATATCATACGTATTGCCCCTAATCTGTGTGTCACCACCAACCTCACAAGCTGACCCACTCCCGAAATTGTACTGGCTTCCTACCCATTTGGTCCATTCCTATCCATTCCCAGACAACCATCTCCTTCCTCTGCTAGCCTGAAACCCATCCCTGTGCAGAAAGCCAGCACAAGGTCAATGCACTGCTTAAGTTCCATTTTAAGCCCTAAGTGGTGCATAAACTTTGTTCTGGCCCCTTCTGTCTGTCAGATTCCCTTAGGACTTACCCATCACTTCATCTCTCCAACCTCATCTGAGGTCTGATCCGAAGCTCACTGAAGTCAGTGGGACTCTTTCCACTGGCTTCAATGGTCTTTGGATCAGCCCCGGATGATAAGAAGCTGTGAGAAGCACTGAGCACCTTTGGCAATCCCTTTGGATGGAAAGCCACATTGTAGGTTAACCAGGCTTTCAGTGATGTGTATAGCAGGTCACTCAGATATTGCAAAAGGGCTGGGGATGGAGCCCAGGTTCAAAAGTAGCTTAGGAGAGGTGTCAGAGCAAAGTCCTTAATAGATAACTCTATGTGAGACTCCACTGAAGTCAATGATGCTGCCCCCAGGGCTGGCTCCAGGTTTTCTGCCGCCCCAAGTGGCAGAAAAAAAAAAAAAAAGCCAATTGGCGGCACTTCGGCAACAGTTCAATCGCGCCACTCCATTCTTCGGCGGCAGTTCGGCAGCGGGTTCTTCACTCCCTCTCTTCCTCTTCGGCAGCACTTCTGCGGCAGCTCAAAGAAGAAGAGAGGGACTGAGGGACCTGCCACCGAATTCCCGCCAAAGACCAGGACATGCCGCCCCAATAGCGGACAGAGTGCCGCCCTTTTGTACTGGCCACCCCAAGCACCTGCTTCCTTAGCTGGTGCCTGGAGCCGGCCCTGGCTGCCCCAGTTTAAACCAGCAGAGAATTTGACCCAAAACATCTATAGTCCACCAAACAAAGTCCTCCCCTTACCTTCTCGTCCAAGTGATCTCCAGTGCTCTTGAGCAGGGCAACTATTTTTCTTATGATGGCTTCTTCTGCAGACAGAGAAAGAGAATTACTTCCAGAATTTCAGACCGTCTCTTCTACAAGCCCAAGTCCTTCTGCCGTAGACGTTGAGGACTGGATTTTCAATGCAGGCGCTTAAAGGTTATTTTCAGAAAAGCAATTTACGTGTCAAGGGCAACAGAAAAGCACCCTTAATTCTGAGCCATGACGGTCCTGATCCCAGCTTGAGCTCTGCAGAGTCAGCCCCTGGCATGGAGCTCGTAGGACTGGGAATTTTGGCCTTGCTGCCCAGTTGCAGGTGTACAATGTGGCTCTGGGTCCCCCTCTGTTTGTAGCAGGACTTTTATAGATTCCCCACAAAGGACCTGGTCTGTTAGCTCACAGGCAGTAGCCGATTCCAATTGTGCTGACTAACATTGCCTGATTGTTTCCTTGTACTCCCTAGTCCGTCTGTCTGGGTCTCCATCTGATGTGTCTTTTCCAATAGTTAGATTGTCAGCATTTTGTTAGTCATTGCTAACCCGACAGCCAATTTTCAGCCCTGTGCACCCATAAACAGGCTTTAAAATGCTCCAGATATCACGAGATTCGTTATAAAATTGCCTGTTGGCAGCACTGCCGATCAGCCAACAAGTAGCCCCTTCCTTGCTCAGAGCCAGCCACCTTGCTTACAAGGGCCACATGTAGGGTGACCAGACAGCAAATGTGAAAAATCGGGACGGGGGTGGGGGGTAATAGGTGCCTATATAAGAAAAAGCCCCAAATATCGGGACTGTCCCTATAAAATTGGGACATCTGGTCACCCTAGCCACATGCCCTGCTCAGTCTGCATGGGCAATTCCTACCGGGATGAAATTCAGTCCTGGGCAGCAGCCTATGCTGCAGTAATGTACCCCACGCCCACTCAGCGTGGTACTCTGTCCTCCTCTAGTGGTGATTGGGCCACATAGAGAGGTTGATGAGCCTGTAACAGCTGTCGGTCCCAAGGTCCATCCCCGCTGCTGACAGCCCATCCAGGGGCATCACACTACAGCTAGTGCCACTCAGTCCTCAACACAGGGCTTATGCAGTGCACAGGCCTTGGGCTGCCTCTCTGCATAGGGACAAATCTCATCCTACTGAGGGTTTTTTGTGCATAGATCAAGGGTGGCCCTGTACATGTCCTGGAATGAGATGATACTGACCAGATTCAGGAGTGCCGGCAGGTCTCAGTAGCTCTTTGTAACTGTGTTTTCTTTTTCTCTTGGCTTCATTGCCCTGGATTATCAATTGTATCTCTTCCGAGACTTGTGTGCAGTAAAGCTCATGTTCTTCCCTGTCTGCAAAGACAAAGAGGGCGAGGTTTTTAATCGGTGTGACCTTGCTGACTGAAAGGGAATTGTCAGATCTTCCAGTAGCAAAATTCCAGCTGACACTGCTCATGCTTCCCCTGGCTCAGGAATTCATGTGAAACTGTGGCCAGCGACTGAGCATGACAATCACATGGTGCTTTTTAAGCCCTGGCTTTTGCTACAAAGACAATCACTGAGCCTCGCAAACATATGCTGAAAATTTACCAGCCGCTTCATAAAGACTGTGTAGCAGGGAAGAAATGATTCTTAAAATGTGTTTATAAACTATGGGCTGGCCTACACTCAAAAGTTGTTCTGGTATAACTATGTCAGTTAGGGGTGTGATTTTTAACCGATAAAATGATTCCAGGAAATGCCCCATTGTGGACTCAGTTATATCAGTATAGAGGTACTGGCTACCAGTATAGTTTTTGCACATCCCAAACCAGAATAAGTTATACTCGTACAAGAGGGGAGATTTGCCATTTTCACTATACCAGGATAGTCAAAGCGGTGCAGCTTTCTTGTGGCGGCAAGCCCGAAGGAGAGAGGACTCCGCAGTCCTGTAACTCCCACAGAAAGTCACAGATCATTTTAAGCCAATGGGATTAAGGCCAGGTCTACACTAGAAATTTTGCCAGTATAATAATGTGAGTTTGGGGTGTGATTCTTTATGACTTCATACCGGCAAAAACCCCACCTGTAGATGCAGCTGTACCAGCAAAAGAGTCCTTTTCCCAGTATGGCTTATTTTGTTACGAGAACTGGTATAAATTACACCAGCAAAAGAATTTTTTGCCAGTATAAGCTGCATCAAAACAAGGAAGATTTGCTGGTATAGCTATCCCGGTATATCTGCACAGGCAAACCCTTTCCAGTGTAGACAAGGTCTTTGGCATCTATTCGTGCCTCTGCAAATCTCCCAGTCTGTGTCACGGTTACAGTCACTTTTCTGAACATAATCCCACTTTAAAATGCTGCCCATGGTCCCCTCAGGGAACATGGAGCTATTTAGCTACAAATGTTCTATGCTCCTACCTTGTGAGGACGGCCTGTGAATGCTCCGCAGTGGAAGAAAGCTGGGCCTCTTTGCTTTTATTCCTGCTTCCGGCCCTGCTTTCTTTTCCTCCTCGGTGGCATGTTTCTTAAAGGAGAAAGCTCTCCTGAGGGTGGATCTCTTTTTAATGGTTTTCCCAGGCCGCGGCAATGAACTGGAGTCTGCTCCAGTTCTTGTAGCCGCTTCTGCTTCTATGCAGCTAGGAGCCCGCTCCATGCTGGCCTCTTTTTCCTTCGTCTTTTTATCGGAGTGTTCTTTATAGTCATCACTGTTTTTCCCGTAGAAGAAATTCAGGAGAGTCTTGATCCAGGGGTGTTGATTTTTCCCCTGGGACAAGTTCTTCAAGCCTTTCCCCTTTGGCTTCTGCTCGTCTTCTGTAGCATTCTCACAAGCCAATGGTTTGCTCTTCTCGCTGAGCGCGTCTTCCAGCCTCAGTGCCTGGGCTCTGTCTGCTTGGCCCTTCCTCATGACTATCTTGGAACCTGAGTACCCGTAGAAGTCACTTGCTGCTCTTTGGAGCTTAGTCATCTTCTTCCCCTGTGCACCGTTGGCCTCCTCCACCCTCTTCTTAGCAGCAAAGGAATCCTCACAATTGCTCAGTGTGCGCTTGACATAAATTTCCAACACCTTCTTGGCGTCTTTCTTGTCTAGAGATAGGAACTTTCCCCTGTGATGGCTCTCTGTTTCCCATGGTCTCCTCCTTTGGGTTTCCATGGCTTAGATGCTACAACAAAGGAAAAGAATGTTTCAGGTAGCCACAGAGCTGGATTAGACTCAGTGGGACAGCTGGTGTAAGTCAACATGGTTCAACTGAAGGCCATCAGTGGAAGCTTTGGCACTCTGATACCATTGGTCAATGATCGACAGTTTTATTGTTATTACTCAAACAAAGTCTTATTTAGGTTGTATATGTATTTCTTGTGCAGCTTTGTCACGCAAACCAGGATAAAGATCAGAAAGATTCAGAAAGAAAAATTGAGCGGAGGGACTGGAAGAGTCAGGGCATGAGCAAGATGCTTTCAGCAAAAGCCCATATGTTTCTATCCTAAGAGCAGCTCCCAGGGGGCAGACCGGCTGGGTCATAAGCCAGGAGGCTGTACAGGACACAATGGATTTGCAGGAGTATAATCCACATAATGTGATTTTAAGGTCTAATAGTTCATAAACCTCCAAAGCTAAAATAAAATGCTACATGCTGGTAATCTCAGTTTTCTAGCATTGTTCCTAGCCTCGGTGATTAACACGCTATCTGACCTTGAAATAACAGTCACTCCCCCAAATCAGACGATAAGCAAGCCATTTACCAGAGAAATCAGGATGTTTTCCACTCCTGTCAGGCCTGTGACTTGATCAAAGGTGCCTCGCAGCTGTTCACTGGAGTTGGTGGTCTCAGCCCACTTCCTGGTGGACAGATGTCTACACAGCAAAACTCATGACCAGGCGAGTCATGGATGGAGAAGACCATTGAATCTGAGCTCCCTGCTTTCCCCTAGAGGTGGTCTCTCCAAGTGAGGGCTGGGGGCAGTGTGACTAGTACAGCCTGTGTGACTGCTCTCTCTTACATTATAATGATTAGCTGATGATGATGATTGTTACTCAAACCAGCTGATCAGTAACTTATTCCCCTTTTCTTGTACCTACACCATGAAACGCTGCAACTAAAAAAAAAATCTTAATTTTTCTCTGACACTAGTTGGGCAACTCAGTTCCCTTCATTGGAGTTACTGCTGATTTACACCATTGTAAGGTGAAATTCAGCCCTGCGCAGAGATCCAGCACAAAGCCTTTGCACCATTTAAGCCCTCTTTTGAGGGCTCAACTGGGACTTAAAGCGTTACGTGCTTTCTGCTGGCTCTCTCTGCCTTGCCTACGAGGTCCATTTCACCGTGACTGAGAGGAGATTCAGGTCCAAAGGATACTTTCCTCGCTAGAAATTAAAGGCATGGTATGCAAAATCCAAAATCACAATCGCCGCAGACAGCACAGAAAAGCTGCAGCCGAAATAAAAGCATGATGGGGCTTTCACGGGTGCAAACCCCAGCTGACATCAATGGCACTACACCAGTGCAAGTTTTAGATCACAGCTAGAGCCAAAGGCGGTAAGACCACCCCACCCCTCCGAACATCAGAACTTTCTCTACAGCAGGGAGACATTCTGTAGACTCACAGGCATCAAAAGCATCAATCAACCCCAGGACGGCTTATATCACCCGCAAGTTTAACAAAGCAAGTTCATTTTGTTGCTATTGATTCTGATAGATTGAAGACAAATCATCTTTAGTCTGATTGTATTTTATTTACCTTTCTGCTAGTATTCCTGCCTTTCTTGGCCTGTTTGAAGACAGGTGCCTTAGCCACAAAGCGCTAATGTTTATAGGACTCCCAGGAACCAGTGCAGTTCTTTTTATACTACAGCCGGTTTCACATTGCGCGAGATGTTTATTTTTACCAACCACTCAGGTAGCAGAAAGGTTGATAACACCTGCCGCTGGTCTCTCAGCCAGCACCTCCGCCCTGCAAGTGTATGTCAGCAGTAAATAGAGAAGTCCATATTTGGCATCCTGGGGTTCGTGAGTTTCACCAGGAGAAAAAAAACTTCCTTATTCCGAGCAACCACGAAAGCAACAGCTTCATAAACTCCAATCAATGCAGCCAGAGGGCAATAAGTGCACTTTGAAACCTAGATGATCTACTGATCATGATGTTTGTTTCATTGCCCTTTTTGGCTCCAGCAGTTAGTCAATATTTGAGCCCTTGCCAGTTCCTTTCCATTAGGAGGAGACATGGATGATACACATCAGATTTATGCTTGGGCGAAATCCAGTTCATTTACAAAAAGGAAATATGTTTCCCTGAAACAGCAGGCCATTTGCTTTCTCAGAAATCCAAGTCTGCCTCTCCAGTGAGTAATGTGCTCATAAGAAGCTCTATCTCTTGGCTTCATCCTAGGGTCACTGTCTTGTTGGCCGCTGGTTATTTTCTGCTGTCTGCCTCTCACACACAGAGCTGCAACCAATCTATCCCTCAGCCCTTGCGCTTTACAATCGGTACCAAGGAAACCCCTTCTGACCAGTCTTGCCAGGTGGCCTATGGCCTTGGGCTTTGGCTTCCTATTGTTTCCAGCTATCACAACATAAAGGGGCCTTTTTAATTGCTCCTTCCCTTTAGCCTGAAAGAAAGGCGATTAGCATAGCCGTCAGCTTTAACCAGGTCTGTGACTGATCTGTGGATTAAAGACGCACTTGATGACAGCCATCTACATCTTCTAGCATAACAGGATGTTTTCCATCACTGGTTATTCAATAGCTTTTTGGCCATGGGGCCAGCCTTAAACAGAAAGGCTACGATTTTCAGAATGGGAGCTACAATTAGGCTCTTATGGCCATATTTAGGCATCTGGGATCTGATTCAAAGTTACCTGAAGGCCATGGAAGTCTTTCTACTGATGTCAATGGGCTTTGGATCAGGTCCCTAAGTAAGAGGCTTGATTTTTACCCAACAGCTCATCATATGTGCAAAAGCATCATCATTTATCCTAGGCTGTAGGCACCTTTACCAACATTTAAACTACAACATTAGGTCTCAATTCTGCAATACAATCTGCTCCTAGAGCCACCCGCAAACACGTAGAGTCCAGCTGTAGCCAATGACAGGTGCAGGGATCTGCCTACACAAAGCTCATTGCAAGATCGGGGCCTAATGAGACATCCCTGTTCTTTGATTTCTGTACGTTTCTGCTCTATATGGTGATGGCCCTTCTTTTTCCAACACAAAATGTACCCTTGCCACACTACCTGCTGGAGCACCTTATACGCTTCACACGAGTCCCCCAGATGGGCCATTTGCAGGCTAAAGCAAATAGATTGATTTATTTTTATAAATGCAATAACGTACTGGACTTTTTGGACAACAGAGAGGTTTCAATTGCTTTCACTCCCCCAGTATAATTTCCTCTGGGTGGAGGCCATTCCATTATTGAGACCAAGAGCTTAACAAGCTGCAAAAAAAGCTTTATATAGCCAATGAGAACAGCCACAGTTGCAATACACAAGTGAGATAAGCCCTCCTACTTCAGGGCACAATCCAACCACTAATTGCCTGGGAGTCAGTAAGAAACTTTGCCTTAGGCAGGTTAGTCCATGAGGGGGGTTTTACACCTCCCTGTTAAGCAGCTGGTATTGGCCACTGTCAGAGACCAAATACCGGGCTAGATGGGCCCCTGGTTTGATCAGCTATGGCAGTGCCTCACTGCCTGTACTCCAAGGATTGTTTATTTCTCACATAGGTACTGATCTCAGTCACTCTATAGATGGACACATGTGTTTAGCAAAGACAGGTACAGTAAAACCTCACCCACAGCCAGCTCCTCTGCCAAAGCAAACAGAGCAATTATTGCCCAAGCGAGGCTGGGGAGGAAAGAAAGAATGAGAATTTCACCCTGTTGTTAGCTGTGCTCTAGTCCAGGGGGTCTCAACCATTTTTTTTCTGAGTCCCCTGCAACATGCTATAAAAACTCCAGGGCCCACCTGTGCCACAACAACTGGTTTCTGCCTATAAAAGCCAGGGCCAGTGTAGAGGGGTAGCAAGCAGGGCAGTTGCCTGGGGCCTCATGCCACAGGGGCTCCTGTGAAGCTACATTGCTCGGGCTTCGGCTTCAGCCCCGGGTGGCGGGGTCAGGGCCCTGGGCTTCAGCCGGCTTCGACTTTCTGCCGAGGGTTCCAGTGAGTCTAATGCTGGCCCTGCTTGGTGGCCCCATCCCCCTGAAGCCTGCTTGCGGCCCCTTAGGGGGCCCTGGATCCTTGGTTGAGCACCTCTAGTCCTGTTATTGTTTGACTTTCATGCAGGCATATAATACATATATCGCCACGTAGTAGGACCCCTTTATACTTAAATGGGAGGAAAAGCAAGCCCATTTTATGCACAAACTTGTGCCCCTTCCATTACTTTGGGAGTTTTGCTGGTTTTAATTAGCTCAGCAGAGATGGATAATGGAGATAAGGCCATTCCTAAAAACAGAGTAAAAAAATATTCAAGGGAGTTAATTATGCCCTGCAGAGGCGTAGCGAGCGCCCTCCGTACCCTCCGACCGGAGGGGGCCCCGCAAGGAAGGGGGCCTCTAAAAGTGGCAAAATAAATACCGCATTCCAGTTTCTGCATTGTAAGGGGCCCCGCCCGGACATATGTTCGGAGGGGGCCATCGTTCGGAGGGGGCCACGTTCTTTGTTGCTACGGCCCTGATGCCCTGGGCCAGGGAGGAATTTGGACCAGGAAGTTTATCTTCACAGCATGGTGGTTACATTCCAAAAGCTGCTGTTAGCTGTTAATTGTTCTCATACCACCTAGTGGCGAAGCTGTGCACTGCCCCTTGAAACATCAGAGTAAACAGAACTCAGTTGAAGCTGTGCATTTAAGGCACCAGTTGCCATGCAGGCAAAAACCTCCCCCCTTGTAGCCACAGACCTATGCACTGCAGCAAGGCTCCACGGGAGATGAGAGATTCATAAGAACGGACATACTGCATCAGACTAATGGGCCATAGCTTCATATAGTGTCTTCCGACAGTGGCCAGTGCCAGATACTATGGAAGGAATGAACAGAACAGGGCAACTATTGAGTGATCCCTTGTCATCCAATCCCAGCTTCTGGCAGTCAGAGATTGCGGGACACCCAAAACGTGGGGTTGTGGCCCTGACCCTCTAAGCTAATAGCCACTGACAGATCTAACCTCCATGAACTTCTGATTCAGTTCCTCCCACTGTGTGATGAACAGGGGGGATTTTTCCTGTTGAAGTTGTTCCACCTTAATTAAATATTAATTAGGCCAAAGCAAGAGCCAAGTTCAAGAAGCCCTTTATGGATCAGGGGTTATGGTGCTCTTGTGGGTTGTTGCGCACCCGGCTTCCCTTCTTCCCTCTTCCTAACAAAGAGTAGATTTGCGTATGGAGCTTGATCAAGTTTTTCCTGTTCCACTTTAACTGTTAATTGGGCCAATGGAAGCACCAACCCCAGGAAGCTCTGAATAGTCCAGTGGTTGGAGTGCTGCCCTGGGATCCTAGAAAGCCTGGCTCAATCTCTCCCTCTAGCTGAGAAAGATGTGGGATTTCAGTAGGGAGCTCACTGAGACTTTTCTTGTTGAAGCAGTGCCACTTTAATTAAATATTAATTGGGACAAAGGAAGACTCAGCTCCAAAGAGCCCTCTGCAGGTGAGGGTGCTTGGCTGGGGTGTTAGAGATCCTGGTTCCATTCACTCCTTGGGTCCCTCAAAAGAGGGAATTTCAACAAGGAGCTCACTGAGTGCTTCCTGGTGAAGCTGTCCCACTTTAGTTAAATATTAATTGGGCCACAGGAAAAGGCTAGTGCCAGAAGCCCTCTATAGCCTAGTGGTGAGGGCTCTCCGCTGGAATGTTGGAGAGCGAGATTCAGTCCCACCCTTGGCCTGAGGAAGAAGAGGGATTTGCTGCCTCAGCTTCTGCTTTTAATTGGGCCACAGCAAAAAATGCAAATCCCTCTTCTGTTCCCGCTGGTCAGGATACCCACCTGGGCTGTGGGAGATCCCAGTTCCAATCCCCCCTCTACAAGGAGATTGGAACAAGGATCTTCCACAGCCCAGGGACCACCCCCATCCCACCCTCTCCTCTCCTCTCCTCTCCTCTCCTCTATGAGCTTTTTCATTTTACATGCCAGCAATCTGGGTCTACTTTGGTTTAGCTGGAGCCCATCCTTCCTGTATAGGCTCCTCCTTTCCCAAAATGTTCCTAAATCTCTCCTCCCTACACCATCATCTCATCCATGTATTGAGACCCGGAGGTTCTGCCTGTCTAACTAGCCCTGTGCGTGGAATTGGAAGCATTTCAAAGAAGGCTAATAAGGAGGTCCTGGACTTTAATCTCTTACCTAGCAGCCTACGTTTGGCCTCCAGGCCCTCTTGCCTACCTTTCCCTATGTCACTGGCACCTACTTATACCATGACCACCAGCTCCTCCCCAGCCCTGCACAATAGTCTGTCCAGATGTCTCGAGAAGTCTGCAATCTTTGCACCATGCAGGCGATTCACCATGCAGTTCTCCCGGTCATCACAAACCCAACTCTCTCTATTTACTCAGTGCGAGAGGATATCCTGACATCATCTGGAAGGAGGGGCCCAACTATGGGATTGTTTCCCTCTGCTCCATCTTGATGTTCTCCTTCCCTGAGACCTTCATCCTCCTCAGCAGCACAGAGGCTGTCAGACTGGGGGTGGGACCATTCTACCGTGTCCCGGAAAGTCTCATCCTTGTACTTCTCTGTCTCCCTTAGTTCCTCCAGTTCGGCCACTCTGGTCACAGGAGTCCGTCTCTGACGGCTATGAGCTGCTTGCACCGAATGCGCACATACGCCCATCTCCTACCAGGCAGGTAATCACTGGCTAACCCCCACTCTACTGCTAGACGTCTGCCCATGTTATTTTTACCCTTGCTGGGGGGTTGTTTGGGGCTGGGTGTGTGTGTTTGTTTCGGGAGGGGGGCATTATTTCCCTAATGCAGAGGATGGGAGGGTGCTTGAGAGGTGAATGGACTGTAGATGCTGCCAAGCTGCCTGGGAGCTGGGTGAGGGGGGCAGAGCTCTCGGTTGGTGCTGGCTATTCCTGTCCATTCCG